GGGGACCCGAGTGAGAGGTGCCCAGCCCTGCCCGCTCTCCTTTGGGGATCAACAAGAGCATCCCAAAGGAGGGGAATCCGGCAGCTTTTACCATGGGGCCACCAGGAAAGATGTGCTTTCACCCCCGCTTTGGAGGGAGGGTTTTTGAGCCCGCAGTGCGTAGACATTGGGGGATGCCAAGTTCTGAAAGCATCACCCCGAGCTTTGCCAGGGGAAGGACTGACCCAAGATGGGGAAACCTCGCTGCTAGGGAAGGAGAGCCTTTCCTTCTCTGCTGGGGGCTGTACCCAGCCCGGGGGGGAGCCCCGCCAGGCTGGAGTGAGGCTACGTTGGGAAATATCTGACATTTAGATAGATGTAGGCAGAACATATCGATACGTTGGATAGTTCCTAACATTTTGGGAGCTCTCATTTTCAAAGGAAGGGTGGAGACCCCTCAAGCTCTCCAGCACTTGCTATTTTTCCCATGGTGGCTCTTCTGAACTTGCGTTTTTCACTCTTGTCACCAAACCTCCAACAACCGATGTGTTTCCGAAGCCACCGGGCTGGCGTAGACCTCTCACAGCCTCCACCCACCGCCCGTGATGGGGCCACGTCAGCACTGGAGGCTCAGCTCCTTTCCCCCTCCCCTCCTGTGATCCCTCCTGCGTGTGCTGATGGCTCTGCCTCCCTGCAGGGACCAGGTCCTCCGCATCATGGCCAGCAACGAGGAGCAGATCACCCTGCTCAGGGTGCTGGGCGAGCAGGCAGAGTTGCAGGTGAGCTGTGGAGGGGCCCTGAGCATCCCCTGGTGTTAAACAGACCCTGGTGACATCCAGGCCTCCCATCCAATTTGCCTTCCCGTTTTGCCTACATATAATTTATGACTACAGAAATATATTTATTTAGCTTGGGGCACCTCGAGCTCAGCCCTCTTGTTTCAGGCAAAGTGGGAACACCCCGGCCACTGCAGCGTCGTTCGTACCCAGGCTGAGCATTCAGGTCTAAAAAGTCATTGCATTTTTTTTGGGCATGAATTACGACGTGACCCTGCTCCTGCTGTGTTGTCCCCGGTTGCTTTGGTGGTGGGGGTGACTCCCAGTGAACAACTGAAGTAACAGGAGCAGCAGGAGAGATTCGGGTGGCAGGGAACAGCATCTGCACCGCAAAGCTGTGGAGGAGGTCTGTCTATCGAGTTAAACAAACCAGCACACAGCAACCCCGGTGTCTCATCGTGTCTGCTCAAAGCACAAACACTCATCACTCAAAGGGACCTTCGCAGCCAACAAGTGGCTTGGGCTGAAACATGTTTCTGTAGAAGATCCACTGAGTGAGGCAAAGGGACCCTGACCCATCCTGGTACCCATGCGTGTCCCAAAACTTGTCCAAAGACCTTTTTAAATCCTTCCATGGAAACTCTTATGAAGACCCCTTTTGATGCCAAGGAGCTCAACAGATGAGCACCGGCATGGGATGGGGCTCAGCTCTCTCCTTTCCTCCGCACCAGGTTGACTTTTGGCGTCACCCCACCAGGCCCGGACGCACAGTCGACCTGCGGGTGCCCTTCCGCAGCCTCCAAGCAGTCAAAATCTTCCTGGAGTCCAACAGGATTTCCTACAGCATCATGATCGAGGACGTGCAGGTAAAGGCTGTGGCGGCGAGTGGGATGGGCTCCTGCAGTTCAGTCCCAAAAGAGAAGGTCCAAAAAGTTGGAAACAATGAGGAGATGGAAGAAAAACTCAACCCCTTGCTTCTTCCAGCCTGTTTGATGGTTTTTTTTTTCCCCTTCCTAAACAGGAATTATTGGATGAGGAAAAGAAAACCATGATGATGTCCAGGACAAAGAGAAGCACGAGCACGTTCGATTTTGCCTCCTACCACACGATAGACGAGGTACTTTGCTCTGCAGCGCATTCGCTTCGTCTTCCTGGGGTCATGCTCAGCCTGTGCCACGGTTGCATCCATGCGGTGACGTTTGTGGTGACAGCGAGACCCTCCCCCGGGACAGGTCTGTCCTCCTTGGGTGGAGGTTTTAGCTGAGCCAGGAGACCAGGCATCCCTCCACATGAAGCGTGGCCTCTCCTGGCATTGCCTCGCTGGAAGACATGTTCAGCTTCATTTTTGGGATTCAGACCCTGGGCTTGGAGCCCAGTGGGCGGCTGATGGAGGCCGTGATGGTGTTGGGGGATCTTCAGAGCATTTTTCCCCCCACCATTCGTCTGCTTTTGCAAAAATCTTTTCAATGTGCACCTCCCTGCGCACGCAGAGGTCCAAGCACCTGGTCTTCTCCAGGGAAGCACATGGTCTTCTCCAGGGAAGCACCTGGTCTTCTCCAGGGAAGCTCTGCATCTTGCAACTCGTGCTGGATGCCCTAAAAACCAAAAGGAAAGCCGGAACGAGCCTCATGACACAGCAGCTCCTCTTTTCAGATCTACGACTGGATGGACACGCTGGTAGACAATCATCCCGGCCTCGTTAGCAAGATCCAAATCGGGCAGAGCTACGAGAACAGACCCCTGTACGTGCTGAAGGTAGGTACTGGGGGCACCCTCGCCTTGCCCAGCCCTGGGAGGGCACGGGGCTGAACCCCCCCCTCTCCGTACAGTTCAGCACCGGGGGATCGAATCGACCTGCCATCTGGCTGGACACTGGCATACACTCGCGGGAATGGATCACCCAAGCCACCGGCATCTGGACGGCCAACAAGGTGACCACGTGCCCTGGGACATGGGACCCCCCCCGATTCTCACCCCAGCCCTTCGTTAAACACCTCCCTGCGGCACCGCTCGGTCACGTCCCTCATTCCCGAGGGGCACCGAGGCAGCTCCTGCTCCCCTCCCTGTGCAGATCGCCGAGGAGTACGGCCAGGACCCCTCCATCACCGCCATCCTGGACAGCATGGACATCTTCTTTGAGATCGTCACCAACCCCGATGGCTTTGCCTTCACCCACAGCTCTGTGAGTGCAGGGACGCTGCCGGGGGGGGGGACAATTTGTCCCAGCGCTTGTCGCCGGCAACCATGGCTGGCCACGGGTTTTGGGTGGGGAAGGAATATCCCTTCCTATATGTAGGTGGAATGGTGAGTGGATGGAGGTGGTTCCCTCTCATCCCTGGAGGCGCTTGGGCAGGAGGGTGTCATCCATCCCCCAGAGAGGGGGGGGTGGGATTCACATCCCTGTGACGGTCTCGCCCCTACTGGCTCCTAGAACCGCATGTGGCGCAAGACGAGGTCCATCAACGCTGGCTCCCGCTGCGTCGGCGTGGACCCCAACCGAAACTGGGACGCTGGCTTTGGAGGTGAGAGCTGGGCCACCAGGTCCCCATGCAGGGCATCGCTTGGGCCTCAAAGCATCAAAGCCTCCTGCTAGAGAAACCTGGGGGCTAGAGACCCTTCCCCAGGGCAGCCTGTCTGCATGGTGCCTCCTCTGCCGTGCCCCAGGCTCCGGCTCCAGCAGCAACCCCTGCTCCGAGACCTACCATGGCCCTTACGCCCACTCCGAGAGTGAAGTGAAAGCCATTGTGGACTTCATCCGTGGCCACGGGAACGTGAAATCGGTCATCTCCATCCACAGCTACTCTCAGATGCTGCTTTTCCCCTACGGCTACCAGACAGCGCCCGCACCTGACCACCAGGAACTGGTGAGGTGGCCCCAAAACGTAGACACGGGGCTGTAAGCACCAGCCTTGCTGGAAAAGTCAGGTCACATCATCCCAGGACCCTCCCTGCTCCTCTTGTTAGATGCAACCTACACACTGAAGCCCATCACCTGGTTCTTGGAGGGAGGGCAATTGCAAGCTGTACCTCTCATCCATCAAAAATTAAGGGTGTTTTGGGGAAAAGCAAGAGCAGAGGGGGTGGGAAAGGGTGCTGGGCTCGAGACCCCACTGCCCCAAGTTTTCTGCTGCCCAAAGGTCTCGGTCCACCAGGTCTCACCCCTTTTGGGGCTCTCCCTTGCAGAACGAACTGGCTAAAAAGGCGGTGAGCGACTTGGCCGCCGTGTACGGGACGAAATACACCTACGGCAGCATCGTGGACACCATCTGTAAGTGTCCCTTCCTCGTCCCGCCGCGTTGTGTCCACCACGAACGCCCAGCACTGGGATCACCTCTCCCCTCCTCTCCCCACAGACAAGGCAGACGGCACCACCGTCGACTGGGCCTACGACAACGGGGTGAAATATTCCTTCACCTTCGAGCTGAGGGACACGGGACGCTACGGCTTCCTCCTGCCCAGCAGCCAGATCATCCCCACCGCTACCGAAACCTGGCCAGCGCTGCTGGACATCATGGTCCACGTCCTGGAGCATCCGTACTGAACCCAGCACCGCCTGCAGAGTCCCCTTCTCTCAATAAATAATCCTGGAGACTTTATGGTTTAAGGCTGGCACCTTTATTTTTTTCATGCTAGACTTCAAAAAAAAAAAAAAAAAAGGGTGAAAAAGGATTCCCAGCCCTGCGGGTGTTTATTTCCCCACTTGTGGCTTTGGCCCTACAAGTCCCCATCGTTTGGGGTCAACAGCCTTAAAGGACCTGGGTGGAGATGGGTGGTTTGTTGAGCAACCAACCCCAAGTTTGTGGGGTTTTGGGCAGCGTTGCTCCGTCGTCCCTTCCCTTTGGGCTGAGAGGAGGGACCCCGGGCACCCTCAGGGCCATCGCTGGGCGCAAAAGTGCTTTCAGGCATTTGCTATTTTATTTTTGCCACCTGGGACGACCGTCACCTGCTCTGACCTCTGTCCCCTGCCAAACTTTAAACCAACTTCCCTTCTCCCACCGCCACGGCCACGGTTTAGTATCCAGCTCACCGAGTCCCCTGTGCAAAAACCTGCATCTCGCACTTTCTCGACCCAA